AGCCCAGCGGGGAGGGGTGATAAGGAAGAGGGGGGGGGGGGGGGGGGAATTTATGAGAGCTGGAGCAGACAGAATCTGGAGCAGTTGCCTAATGATGTTAGTTGCAGTAAATCTCAATAGCTAAAGATTCACTGCCTTGGAACAAGTATGCATCTTGTGAGTTGACATCCAGGATACTGGAGCAGATATTCTGCTATGTTGCAATGCAGTACAATTTTGAGTCTGTTCACATTTGTACAGTTTCCTGAGGATTAATGCATGCTTTCACAGTAGGTAATGTAAATGTGATGGGTAAACAAAACATAACTTAGTGATGGTTGTTCATAATACTCTTACAGTCAAATCACTTCATCAGGAGCTCCATATGACTTACTGGTGAAGCATTATATGGAGGTCTGCATATATTATCATATTGTATCATTGCTATGCCTGATGAAGGGACCCTGTGTGGCCCCGAAAGCGCTTGTGTAACGGACATGAGTTTGCAATAAAATCTACGAACTTTGATCCTATAAGGATTTGGTGTGCTGGTGACGTTTCTGCAATTATCTGCATATATTATCCTCCCCTTTCAAGCATACACATACAGTGATGTACTGGAGCCCATTTCCCTTTTCTGTAACATTCATTTGTTTTACTGTGTGCTCAAAGCAAACCTTGCCCTGATAAATTTACCAGACTTTATAGGGCAAACTGTATCTGTTGAGTCACTGACCTGGAGCAAGCATGTACGGTAGATATCCGTTGTCAGGACACCCCATGCGAACATACTCTTTTGAGTCAGCAAGGGCACGTCTACACTATCGTGCTGACTGGCATTTTTCTGCAGTTGAAGGACACCAGTTACCGCTAAGGCAAAGGGAAAACAATTGTTTTCTATGTGCCATGTCCACACCACAACACAGATGTGATGTGTGGTGCACTGGAAAAAAATGAAGAGATGCTGCATTTCCTTGCAGAGCAGTAGATGACACCGCAGGTCACCGCACCACAGGGACCTGGCGGAAGTGTACGGTTTGTACTCCCTTATTAAAGTTTAAAAAAAAAAAAATGTAAACAGTGAGTTGCGCTGTAACAAAGCAAGGCACTGCGACTTACCGCCATCACTAGCCACATGGTAAAATGCTGCGTTCTACCGTGTGGCTACTGTGAACAGGCCCTCTCACACTAAGCAAATGTATCTTTTTTTTAACAAAATGAACATTATAGTGCCTTTCTGTATTTATATTACACATAAATCATTTTCAAGATGACATGTTACTTAAAAATACACTGTTGATAAAATAAAAGGTATCCTAACAATAGTGTCTCTTTAAAATACAGTCAACATCAAATCTGCCCTCTCTTGCAGAGATAACAGCTCCACTAGGATCTTAAGCATCTGATGATTATAGGTATGTCAGATGCCCTAATTTCCTTGCTGCATGTAGAGGTTTCAGCAATGGGAAGATGCAGGCTTCCAACACACCTGGAAGTGTTGATGTTAAAGTGGACCTTTACCCCCATAACTAAATGTCACATCATCATTCAGCTCTGCATGCTTATATGAAATCATCTTTCATTGATCAGCTGAATAAACATTTTAATTTTACTTACAATTACTATTTTTCCACTTTCTGATACTCTTATGCATTAGTGATCTGTAAAATGCAAAATCTCACGAGATCTCAGGGAAAGGCATTTTTCACCACTGAGATGATGTGCATGGTCACATGTCCTAGTCACATGCCATCAGGGTACATGTATCCTAATGGCAGCCACTATTTAAACACATGAGTTGTAGTGGGCAAAAGCTAAGATACAGAAGAATCCAACATACTAGGAACAAATGACACAAAGCGTAAACATCACCATTCCTAAAATTCTTAAATCACTGCCATTTAATGAATAACAAAGTCACATTAGCCGTGTTCTACCGGAGTACTATAGATAGTCCACTAACGTACCTTTTTTACGCATGTGCATGTAATGAACTTTTCTGTCCCCATATTTTGGCTGTCTAATTCCACAATTAGACAGAGAGTTGCGAGCATGGTCAGGGTTCATCCCAAAGTTTAAATGGTGGCTTGGGTGAGTCATTGCAAGCTGTAATAGGAAACAATATAAACACATTAACATATGAAAAACAATATATAAAAATAATATATATGGAAAACATGAGGGATGTTCAGATACAAGTGCCGATACTTGCCATTTTCATGAGAACTACCAGGGTTGCAGAGGTTGCAGGTGTGACCTGGCGCTGGCGCTCCACCACTGTCATGAAATCATTACTCTTTTTTTGTTTTAGAAAAACTGTCACACGACAATAAACAAAAATGTATCAGTACTTGTATCTGTGAGTACTTGGACAAGTATCAGTAGTTGTACTTGAAAAAATGGTATCGGTGCATCCCTTTTATATATTTATAAAACCAACCATACATTAAAATAGGGATGCACAAATCCCAGGAGCTCCGTATGCTCTTTAAAAACACACCATAAGCAGTGCGTTGCGGTCAGATTCTGGCCGGAACGCACTGCATCCAATTTTTTGCCGCCTCCCTTTTTTGCCGGGCAGGAGGGGGCGTGGCGGGCCATTGAAGTGAATGGCACTGTAGCCACGCCCTCCGGCCACAATGCCATCGCCCGCACGGGATCGCAAGGAGGAAACTGGTCAGAGAGACTACTAAGTGGCCTACAGCAATTCTTTTTTTTTTTTTAAATTGACAATTTTTATTTTGAAAATCGCATATATGAGTTACAAAACTTATGACATAATTTGAGGTATCAAAAACAAAACATGAAGCGTTTTACCAGAAATCACAACCCAGACATTGTTTCATATACTATTGTAGGTTTGTTTCTCTATATCTTATAGATAACAGGTTTTTCTTATATTTCCTACATACCTCTCCGAGAGTCTGATTACATCTTCTTATGGCTCATAATATTCTGTTCTGGATTAGCTTATCTATTTAAGAGCAATATCCAACAAATACCTTCTTACATTGATGTATCTGCAATTAAACTAACAACCTTAAAACATCATAAAGATATAGTAATAAGAAAAGAAAGTGTGTGTAGTCTTCTTCCAGGATAGCGTTCTATATGAACAGCATGAGCAACCTATACCAGTGTTCCTCTTGTACCCCTGTCCCTCGGATTCCTTACTCCAGGACCTGTCTCCCCCCACGTCTACTCCTCCTCCGCCTCTCAGTTCGTGTATTCCTCATAGACATCCCACGGACTCCATACCACTTTATGGGCTTCTACTGTATTATTTAGCCGTGCTGTCAGGTATTCCATAACTTGTACATCTTTGATTCTGGCATAAAGATCTAGTTTCGATGGGGGAAGCTTTTGTTTCCATTGTAGCGGTATGAGACAGCGGGCTGCCGTGAGAATATGCGTCGTCAGTTTCCTATGAGCTCTTGAGAGGTCTGGGAAGGGCACTCCTAGCAAGAAATGTATAGGTTGAGCGGAGAGTGTCTGTCCCACTATTTGTTCTAGGATGCGTTTGACTTCTCCCCAATAGGGTTGAATTCCTGGGCAGGTCCAAAATATGTGGAACAGGGTGCCTCTTGCACCATCACACCTCCAGCAATTTGGGGATAACTTTGGGTTGAGTGTATGGAGAAAATCCGGTGTGTGGTACCAATGGTACATTATTTTGTACTGATTTTCTCTATATACCGAGCAAATTGAGGACTTTGCTGCCGTCCTCCATATACGTACCCATTGCTGAGGCGAGATTGTGGTCGCCAGGGCATTTTCCCATTTCCGCATATAAGGGTGGCCTGTCTCTTCCTGCCCTGAGTCCTTATTTAGCAAGTTGTAGAGAAAGGAGATCATGCCTCTAGAGGAGTGTGGAGCCAAACATTGAGTCTTGAATGAGGTACGTGGGGGGAAGGTCAATGTTTTAGCAATTGCCTGAGCAAAATGTTTAATTTGCAAATATGAGTATAAAGCTCTAGGTGGGAGATCATGTTCTTCCCTAAGTTGTTCAAAGGACAGTATTCTATTTGTAACCCTATCCAGTAGATCTCGAAGGTGAAACAGACCTCTGGATCGCCACAGCCCCTCCCACTCCCTAGACATCCCTGCCTGTAGTTTTGGGTTCAGTAGGAAGAGAGTCAGTGGGGAACGGGCCATCAGGCCTTTGGATATCTTAACCTTATTCCATATTTCTAACGTATGCCTCGTGGAGGAAAGCAGAGCGCCCTTGGGTATTTGCACTGGATTGGACCATAACAGTGCATTTGGATGGACCGGTGCGAGCCATAGGCCTTCTATGTTCGCCCAGCTCGTAGGGGGATCAAGCCTTGATAGAGCCGGCACCACTCTCAGTTGGGCCGCTTGGTAATATGTAGGGAAATGCGGTAAAGCCTGACCCCCCTTTGCTGTCATCGCGTATAGTATCTTCTGCGACACCCAGTGTCGCTTCCCCTCCCATAGATAGTGTAAAACCTCTTTTTGAAAAGATTTCAAATCCATGGCTGGTATTCTAACTGGTAATGTGGTAAAATGGTACAGCAGCTTCGGCAGCAATGTCATTTTAACCGAGGCCAGTCTACCCGTGAATGACAATCTCAAAGATTTCCATTTCTGTAGTTGGGCCTACAGCAATTCTGAAGCAGTTGCAGGAATTTATGACAAAGAGTGGTCATTGTGTGCATGTGACAACAATATCACAAATTCTCCACAAATGTGGCTTGTATGGGAGGGTTGCAAGAAAAAAAGCCACTCCTCAAGAAAGGCCACATGCAGTCACTATTGAACTTTGCCAAAACACACCTTGAAGATTCTAAGGCCACATGGAAAAAAGTGCTCCACGTGCCAAGCCCGCCAGGAAGCTGACAACACGCAGCGCCAATCACAGGTACTGAGACATTTTTCCGGTCCGCAGCTGCAGAGATCGGGAAATGTCTCAGTGCCTGTGATTGGCGCTGCCAACTTCCTGGTGGGCTCAGCACGTGGAGCTGCAAACACGCCCAAGCCCATCCTTAGTTATAAGTTGTACTGAGTAAATACAGCTGGATAAAACAAAAACTGTGCCTGCCTTCATTTCAAAGCAACAAATGTGATTATTTAAAAGGGGGTGATTCTTACCTATACCCACTATATGTCTAAACCAGGGGTAGGAAATCATGACACTACAACTGTTGTTAAACTACAAATCCCATGAGGCACTGCAAGACTGACTGTCACAGGCATGACTAGCAGAGGCAAGTGCATAATGGGATTTGTAGTTTGCAGTGTCAGGATTTCCTACCCCCAGTTTAAACCAATGTTATATTAGCTGCAAGTCCACTGTTGCTCTTTATCCAACTGATTTCAATCCTGGTATGATCAGGATAATTAGCTGATGAAAAACATAATACACTGATCCTACATGAAGGCAATGTAATAAACAACAGACTCTGTGAAATAAAAAACTACGAGCACACCAAGATTCAAGATTCTCTATTTTATTTTTAAATTTGCCCTAGAAACATAAAAGAAAGACTCTATTTAATGTAGACAAAACAAACCATATACGTATAAGGCCTTAATAGCTATAATTGCTCTTTTATTCAGTGCATAGTGGACACGGGAGCAAAAAATGGGATCCATATCCATAAACTCTACTGCTCATTTTGCTTTCTAGGTTTCTAGAGCCTGAAACAGAAGCAGGGCCAGATTTATCACTAGGCTATGGCTAAGGGCACCAGGGGCAGTGAGGAACTATCTAGGACAATTACTGACATCATTCACTGCTTGCTGTCCTGGGGCATTCATCCGGTGACTAAGCATTTCAAGTTTATTATATCATTTATTTTAAAGAACCATTAAGTTAAACTTGGCATCATCAATCTTATTTTTAGTTGTAGTATGTAGACATTTTCTGTAATTGTCATAATGTGACATTAAAGTCTACCCCCCCCCCTCCTTAATGCTGCTGTATTAGGGCTTAGGGTTAGGGCTTTTCCCCATAGTTCTCCTTAGGGTAATCAATCCAGGGTGTGCCAATCTAGAGGCAGAGCCAGCTGTACCCGCCCCCTCCCCAGTCCGTTCCGCCAGTCAGCGCTGGAGGATCAGAGCGGGGAGAATCCAGCCACTCCCCTGTCACGGCAGAGCGCCGTGACAGGATCGAGAAGTGAGCGAACGCCGGTATGTGTTTGCTCACCTCCCGATCTACTGAGCCGACCTGTGACAGTGTCACCGTCACAGGTCGGCTAGAACTATGAGGCTGAGTGCAAAGCACTCACCTCATAGTTCTCCTTTAAGTGATGCCTCTTGATCCGAACATCATCTGCCTTCCAGTCATTTTCAGCAGTCCCTTCAGCACTGGTGCCGTTCTCTGATCCAGCTTAGACTGCTGTCTCTTCTTGTCCCGCTGACGTGCATGCTCACGGCTGCATGAACTAACTTACACTGCAGCTCTCCTCGCCGGTGATCTCTACTGTGAATGCGCCCGCACACACATCCTCCTCCATGGCCGCTCGAGGAGCTGGAATCTACAGCCGGGAGCGAACGGCGAAGACAGAGGTAAGTTTTTACCTATTTGGTAACTTTTTAAAAATGTTTTGGGATATACCTACTGCTTGGTAGCAGTAGATATATGTAAACTAAATAAGACTTTAGTACCACTTTAACTGTGGCTATGATTCCACCTGCGTCAGTACAGCATTGAGTGTGTCTCTGCAGAAAAGTTTCTGCCTGTCACAGTATGGTACCGATTGTGTCGCTACAGAAATGTTTCTAACTGTAACAGTATGGTACTGATTGTGTATCTGCAAAAATGTTTTTGGCTGTAACAGTATTGTGTTGATTGTGCCTCTGCTGGAATGGTAATTGGCTGTAACAGGATGGTACTGATTGTGTATCTGTGGAAATGTCTCTGGCTCCAACAGTATGATACTGATTGTATCTCTGTGGAAATGTTTCTGGCTCCAACAGTATGGTACCGATTGTGTCTCTGGAAATGTCTCTGGCTCTAACAGCATTGTACTGGTACATGGTACGGTTCGACCTCATCTGGAGTACGCGGTCCAGTTCTGTTCACCAGTACTAAGAAAAGATGTCCTTGATCTGGAAAAAGTCATTTGGTACTTTTGACTTTT